GACGACCAACGGCGCCGGTACCCATTTTGCATGCAGAATTACATTGAACGTCTTGAGCTCAACGACCGTCAAACTCCGGTGACGAGGATGGAAGCGATCGGCAGGCTCTTGTGTATGTGCGCTTGAGCATTTGTCAGCGACTTTCACTGACACTACTGTAGATAGATGATAGTGTTTAAAGTAGACGCTGACAAGACACGTTCTTGTGCTGTCCACTGAATCGTATTTTTTCAAGTTTTTGCGTGCTGTCCTTATTTATCAAAACGCCAAAATCTCACCTTCTGCAGGCGATAGAAGGACAGTCAGCAGTACCCAACTGCGTTGTACATTTGGGATAAAGCCCCATACATGTATAATGAAACACGACATACTTTTTACTCCTTTTTACTAAGACATCATTCTTACACCACTTTTTAGACGAGGAATTTCCAGTAGAAAACAACTGGTCTGGTACATAATCCAGCAGAATAAAACTACTGTTTGGCAAGGTACTAAGTTCGCTTTTTCGGTTTTCTACGAACAATCGAACTTACTGATAAAGTCACGAATTCCTCTCAAGGCCGCCCCGGTGGACACCGCGGATCTCGGCGAGAGTTTAGATCCGTACACAACCGACAAGGAAATGACTAAGTTGAAGTCCAATCTGTCCGCCAAGCCGGCGACCGCGACCAGATCGTCCAAGAAAAAGAAGATCAAGGCAGCCCGGACGAAGCTGAAGGCACCGGATTCGGAATCGGAAGACGTGAATAAACCGAGATCGACCATCGCCAAAGACATTATCGAGCAGGCTTACCATCGGAAGATCCTGAGCGAGACACTGCTACAGGACCCTGTCCTCGCGATCATACAGGTCCGACAGATCGGCGACCTGACAGACCCGGTATCCAAGCCCAACGCCAGCTCAGATAGGCTGAGTGCAGTAAAGATCCTGTTAGACCTTCTCCAGGAGGCCGGACAGGTAACTGGAGAATTTGATCCGGATTTCCTGTTCGAGATGGAACTGGGGGCGATCCAGGCGGCGATCCAAGATCTCTACGACTCACTCAAGATCTTGGTCGGCGAACACCTACAAACGCCCGATCTGAATTACCAGACCGGGTCGTCACACTACGCGTCGGCCACCTCGGAACCCGATTCAGATTCTTCCCGAGCCCCACAACGCATGCCGCTAGGTCTTTCGGGCGCCAAGAATCTGAGATCACGCGTGGGCTGGCCAGATCAACGGCCGGCAGGACCGAGTCAGACTCTGGAGAAGCCCGATCGGCAGCAAAAGCGCCAGATCCCAGCAGGACGAACCACTCCGACGACCAATTCGACCGGATCTAGCAACACGCTGGACGAATACTTCCAGATGGCGATGAATCGATTCTTGAAGGAACAAAGCCTGGTGACGGTGCAACCACCACCCCTCGGAACGCAGGATATCGACATGGAGTCAGTCGGCACCTCGGATCCAGACTCCGGGGAGTACGACCCCGACGACCTCGGGATTCCAAGTTCCTCCGGTCATGATTCCGGCCGAGCTGCGGCCGCCACGGCGGTGATCGGCTCTGGGGGTTCGTCGATGATCCAAAGAGTCCGAATTGGCCAGATCAACGGCCGGCAGGACCGAGTCAGACTCTGGAGAAGCCCGATCGGCAGCAAAAGCGCCAGATCCCAGCAGGACGAACCACTCCGACGACCAATTCGACCGGATCTAGCAACACGCTGGACGAATACTTCCAGATGGCGATGAATCGATTCTTGAAGGAACAAAGCCTGGTGACGGTGCAACCACCACCCCTCGGAACGCAGGATATCGACATGGAGTCAGTCGGCACCTCGGATCCAGACTCCGGGGAGTACGACCCCGACGACCTCGGGATTCCAAGTTCCTCCGGTCATGATTCCGGCCGAGCTGCGGCCGCCACGGCGGTGATCGGCTCTGGGGGTTCGTCGATGATCCAAAGAGTCCGAATTCCGGCCATCTTAGATCTGAAGGAATTTACCGAGAAGGATATGGACGAAGATCACACAAGGGCGTGGATCGGCGAGGCGAAATCGGCGTTCCAGCAAGATCAAGCAACAGAAGAGGGGAAATCCCTCACGTTCGCGGATCTGATGGTGGGACCAGCCAAGAACTGACATCGACGGTTAAGTCGGACCACCAAGACCAAATGGGCGGATTTTACTCGAAAGTTTCCAGACCCAATACTGCGGTCTGGGTATGTCAGTGACATGGCAGTACTACCATGCCCGGAAAAGATCCGAGGAGACCCCGCTTGATTATCTCTATCGACTGAACGTAGCCGCTCTACGAGCCAAACTCAAGATCATTGACGGAAATCCAAAGGCGCACTGAGAACACGTCGATCTTTATATTGAGACGTTGGGCGACCCCGAGTTGGCAGGCCGCCTAACGCTATTACGAATGGCTGACGTCGACGAACTTGAGGAAGTTCTCCGTGCGCGGGAACGAGCCAAGAGCAGGCAACGCAGATCCGCGTTCGGGTCGAAATTTCGACAGAAGGTCCCAGCCAGCGCTCCGGCTGCGCTGGCCCATGTCAAGGTACGCGCGATCCAGGCGCAGGATCCGAGCTCCGAGTCAGAAGGGATCTCGGGATCTGACGGATCCGACTTGGAAGGGGAACTACGAAGGATCTTCCTGGCCGTGGCAGAAGAGAAGTTGATCAGTACTGGGGGCGCCTCGCAGAGCCCAGATCCAGCACGATACCGAATCAAAGCGTCTGAGGGAGGCCGAATCCCCGATCGTCGCAACCCGGGAGACAGAGATCACCAAGATCGAGACCGCTGTTCCCATTGTGGGACCAGGAAACACACGGATCTGGACTGTTGGACATGTGAAAAGTGTGGGAAGAGAGGTCAGCCAACGGATCGCTGTCTGTATGCGTGTCGTGGATGCGATGACGTCCATGAGGCAGGAGAATGCCCCATGGAAGAATTCTACAACCAGATACGCAAATGGTATGATCCGACTAGACAAGCCGGCCTGTTCCCCGAACAAGTTGAAAAGATATTAAGCTAGGACGCTCGCCGGGGTGGAATCCGGTACGAGCCGAGCGTTCTAGATATTGCATCTACGCCTACGTGAACAAGGCGACGACAGATCGAGGTAGGAAGGAGTCGGATCTACGCGGTAATACATGTAATTTCCATTCGTACACCGCCAAGATCGCGAGCCTCCCTCAGACCAGCGAATTCAGCAGATCTAATGCGGAGGTGGCCTTGAATCTCAAAAGAGGAGAGTCCCGGGGATATTGGAAACGTCATGCACTGGGAAAATGATTCCGACAAGCCAAGATCTCAGGCAGGATCAATCAAGAGAAGGCGATCCTGCTCCTAGATACTGGCGCTGAGGTATCAATCTTGGATACCACCTTTGCTCGGAAGGTGGGATGCAATTTTGACACTAGTCAGAGACAGCAATGTGTTGGAATCGGTGACAACGTATATGCTACGGAAGGAAGTACCAGGATCAAGATCACTTTAGCGGGATATTAGGTGTATTTTTTCGATATCTGGATCGGAGACCTATCAGGCCACAACGCGATCCTGGGCATGGATTTCATGGTCCCGGCCGGTGTGCGAATGGACCTCGTTGACGGATCGATGCGTTTGCCTGACGAGGTCGGAATACCGCTTAATGACCGTAACAGATTGTATGGCGAGAAGGTGAGATCAGTGATCCTCGAACGAAATCTGGGAATCCCGGTTGGTGGGTCTTAAGAAACGGCAGCAAGGATAAAATTGTCAGCCACAGAGCACCTGTGGGTGACCAGAGGAGAACAATGGGTACCGCCAGTAACGGAAGGCCCCGGTCGCATCCCTGGTGATCTCGAACATTGGAGACGAGATCCTACGGCTGGACCACCGCCTGGACGTGGGTATGATACTGGATCAGGACAAAGTACCCCGATCCCCAGGGTTCGAGTCCGTCGGGTCTCGTCGCTACCGAGAATGGCAGAATCTGGCATTGGAATCGACGATGGACACTTGATCAGAGGCTCCAGAACTTATGGAGGACCCTGCAGAGCCGGCAGTACAACAACCAACGTATCCCACACCACGATCGATACTTCGCCGACCAGAAACAGCTGATATCGACAGGGATCGAATGTTGGTATCGACCCTAGAGACTCGATCTAGGGCGGGAAATGCCAACGCGGCCCAGATCGAGGCAGGGTTTCCCAATCCGGAAGGGGGCCATCCATCTACGTCACCGGAAAATTCTAACGCCGATCGATACCGGAGCGGCGATGCTGGGGGCGGTGGGATAAGTGAGAGCATGCCGGACCAAGTTACCGATCAGACTGGTACAAAAGATATCGAGCCGAAAACAGAAAGTCTGACTGGCAACACAAGATATCGGGCCAAAATGGAAAATCCGAACTGTCAAACCCGGATCAAACTCGAATCCGGCAAAGATTTTCCCGGATCCGCCCACCGAGGGCGTCGAACTACGGGATCCGTCGGCGGAAGGAAAAGCAGGGACCTCCCCACAGGATGCCGAGGGTGATGATGGGATATACTATCATGATAGTGGGAATCTCTCAGCTGAAGATCTCGAGGGGAACCTCGCTGTCCTCCCCGAAATCCCGATCTCGACGACTGCAAAGGTGAGCATTGAGGATCTGCGGGTAGGAGACTCCGGATCGACCACACCCGAAGAGATCGAGAAGCTCCGGCAGATCATTTGGAAGAATCGACACCTCCTGATCGGCAAAGGGAACGCCCTATCTCCGGCGGCCAAAGGCGTCGTGTGTGACATCGATGTCGGGAATGCAAAACCGATCTCACTGCAAACCCGGAAAGTACCCACGCGATTTCGATAAAAAGTCGCAGGCCTGATCAAGGACCTCCTGGCAGCCGAGATCATTCGACCCTTGACATCGCCATGGGCCTCACCGATCGTAATTGTCCGCAAGAGTAACGGCGTAGATATCAGGTTGTGCATCGAATACAAGCTGGTAAACAGCATCACGAGGTTGATGGTCTACCCTATGCCCCTGATCAGTGACCTGCTTGAGGGCCTTGATAAGGCATTATGGTATTGCTCGCTGGATATGGCCAGTGGCTTCTGGGTCATGCCCACGACGGATCGGACTCGCGAGATCTCAGCATTTATCACCCTGTTTGGATTATTCGAATGGAGTCGCATGGCTTTTGGCCTGAAAAATGCCCCGCAGATTTATCAACGCCTCGTAGACAACACGCTGTATGGATTTCTGAAAATCTCGCGATCAGGCGACGCCGGGGCTACAGCGGGCGTGTTCCAGACAGAGATCGCGGACGATCCTGATCGTGGGTCAGTGTTGGGACGGAGATCATACATTGACGACATTATGATCGCAGCCGAATCGTGGGATTAAATATGCCAAATGGTGGAAGATCGGTTGGAGGCTTGTGACAAGTGGAATCTATCGATCAGTGTGGCAAAGATCTTGTGGGCCATGGATAAGGTAGGCTATCTGGGACACCGAGTGTCGATCGGAGGTCTGGAAGCCAACCCAAAAGATCTGAAATCCCTGACCGATTTACCATTCCCCGGGTCACTCCGCGTTCCTGGGTAGTTTGAACTACTACAGCCGGTTCATTGAAGACTACGCTATTTACGCCTCGTTGCTATATGAACTACGCGAGGTGGAGTTTGCAGAACTGGAGAAACGATCGGATCTGAGGAAGATCATGGACCAGAACGATCGGATTGCACGGGATCACAGCCCACCGGAACTACAGCTTGTGGAACCATTAGATGAGAGGTGTATCAGGGCGCATAAAGCCTTCATCACCCTGAAAACCAAGATCGCGACGATCCCAATTCTCTGCCACTTCGACGAGGCGAGAACGCCGGTAGTTATTGTATATGCCAGTGTGTGGGCGATATCCGCTTCGTTGACGCAAGAACCCGACGGGATCTACCATCCGGTTGCGTTCGCCAGCCGCACCCTGAAGGCGAACGAGTTGAATTACAATGTGACCGAAAAGGAGATGTTGGCATTACTGAGGATCTTGGATCTCTACCACAATTTACTAGTGGGATGTGCGATCCGGGTCCCAACGAGGCATTCCACGTTAGCCTGGCTGTTCAGGTCGATAGTATTACAGGGTCCCCTAGGGCAGTGGTCAGCTCTCCTAGCCCCGTGGACACTCGAGATCACGAAGTGTACGAAGGGTGAGGATGAGATCCTGGGGACGATCGCTGCCAGAATCACGCCGAGGGCGAAGATGGACGACGCTCTGACCGACATCGCTCCCCGGAAGGAACCAAAGCGCCGGATCCAAGCGCCAATACCCACCGTGGATCGAGAAGAGAAATTATGGGTGGTCAGTTTTGACGGATCCGCTCGAGTGAAGCGTGGCGGGGGCGCGTTCAGCGCGATCGTGTGGAGTCACCCCGGATGGGAGGTGGTCAAAGCTAGATCGGGCTATTTCGAGAGCGTCACCGTGAACGAAGCAGAATACAACGGCCTGATCCTGGGACTCGACAAGCTAGAGGACATAGATCGAAAACGCCTAGCGATCTGCGGTGATTCCAACTTATTGATCCGATAATACGGGGCGAGATCGATTGTAAAGCACCTGGGCTGACGCTATTGAAGCGGAAGGCCCTCGATTGCCAGAGGAAATGGAGCGATCACGAACTAGTGCATGTGAAGCGAGACTGGAATGGGAGTGCCGACAGTCTAGCGAGTACCGCTTTGCAACGACAAGGCAGGATCAAGGTCCAGGGAGGGCCCGAGTATCTAGACCTGGTCATCCTAAACCGGTTGGACGAAATCCTGATTCCTAAGACCGAGAGCCCAGTGGTCCGAGTCGCAGCGGTCACCGCCCGAGCTTCTCGAGTAAGATCACCCGCGGGAGGTTTGCAAGAGGATCTGATCCGGGAGATGCGGGTCGATCGGATCGGACAGGCCCAGGAGGAGGAAGTCTGGAACGCAGGAATGAAGAAATATCGGGCGGCTCGATCACCGACCTCACACAAGCAGAAGCAATATCGTGTGGCAAGATCGCTGCCGACTATGAGGTGGATGAGCAGGATCTACGCTTTTGTTGCCCACCCACCCCGAGATCGGGGGACGGTTGCTGAGACTGGTAGTACCCGAAACGTTGCAATCGGACGTTTTACACCACTATCACACCCCGCTAGAAGGTTGACATCAGGGAGTAGGCCGTACCTCCCAGCGGATCCGAGGTCACTTCCACTGGGGATGATTATATCGGAGCGTCCAGCGATACGTGGGGGAATGTGTGGATTGTGTAACGGGAAAAGGAAAACCCGTGATCCGGGGTGAATCCCCAGGGAGCTTGCAGGCGACATACTCGTTCCAGATCATTGCTAAGGATCATATACCGTCGCTTCCCGGATCCCACAAGGGGAATACTGATTGATCTGGGTCGACCTGTTGACAGGATACGTGATCGCGAAAGCTAGCTCGTCCCAGTCGGCCCAGACGGTCGCGGAGTCGTACGAAGAGTATGTATTCGGCGATTTGGTGCCAGCGAGATGATCCGGCATGATTGAGAACCGGGTTTCATGTCCGACTTCTTTCGGACTTTTAACAAGATCCTCGGGCAACGGCAGCGGGCGACGATGACATATCGACCACAACCCAACGGGACCGCAGAAAGAATGGTACAGACGGCGACCAGCGCACTTAAGATGTACGTACGCCATCTGGATCAAAAGGATTGGGAGAGTATGCTGAGCGACTTACCATCGCGATCAACACGGCCCACGATTAGATCCGAGGGGATACCCCCGTGATTTGATGCTTGGGTGGGATCCGAGATCGACGTTGGAGGCTACACTGCCAGTCGGATGCACAAGACGGAGCGATCGAGACGCGCGGTGGTGGCGTTATCGGGTCCAACGGCACTATCAGGAATCGCGGGAGCAAGTCAACGCCAGATTGAGAGAAGCCATCGCGGATCGGGCCAGTCGACACAATGAGGACGTCAGATCACACTAGATCGAAGCCGGATCTCGAGTTTGGTTGTACTTAGACCGAGTGAGAGAAGGATATGCACAGAAATTAGTTCACCTGTGCATGGGCCATTCCGTGTCGCCGAAACGATCAACGAATTCACCTTCAAGCTCGAGATCGCGGGCACAGGGTATCAGATCTTCCCGGTCGTTCATGTATCGAAGCTAAAATTGATCAAGGACTTTCCGGATCGGCAGTGAGTCGAGATCACGGTGAGCGAATCGGATTGCCTCGATTTCGATGAGATCCTGCTTCCGGAGGACAGCTGGGTCCCAGATCTCGGGGTCGACGAGTACGAAGTCGAGCGGATCTCGGATGTGTGGAGTGGGAAGAAGACGCGATTTGGTCGAATCTACCGAGAATTACGTGTGCATTGGGTAGGATATGACGAGCCGACCTGGGTCGACGAAGCCGATCTCAACTGCGGGGCAATACTGAACGCCTTCGTGCGAGAACGAGCTAATCGTAACCGCTTCAATGTGATGCAATCACATGAGGAGATGTAAGGAGGAGGGGGTGAAATTGTTTGATCGTCTCGACCCCGAGGAAGTACAAGTCGGATGAGACTGAGATCAGAAGTTCATATTGTATATCCGAATATAGGAAATGTCGGCCTTCGCAAGGGATCGCGGAAGGCGTGGTGAGGCTGAAGCGAGATCACGTGGGGGGCGAGCGACGAAAAGAGCAAACAAGCAGAAGATGTGGCAGAGATTTGAGAATTTCGGCAAGGAGAGATCGCGATCGCGGGACGGCGAGAGGGGATCACGGAAGTTTTCCCCGAGGTGAAGTCAGATCCACGACCAAGGAGCCGCTGGAGGGTTGAATTTGTTCACGAGACGAGAGATATGCAGCGATGGATGGGCGGTGCCTGGATCGCGGTAATGGTTCCGTCAAGGATCCGCCTGATCGCACTCGAACAGAGCCGTGATCAGGTCGGTCGGCTCGGGGATATTCGCGGTCGGCTGTGCGAGATTGGCCGCCCTGGAGACAGATCCGGGATACCAGCAGACTCGATCCTGGGTCGTCGGCAGGTGGAGGAAGTAAGGATCCAGCAGGAGGTTGATGTCGGCCCACTGACTCCTCATCATTGGGAGGCACAATCCCAACAGTTTCCGTTGCGATCTCCAACGCGGATGCGCCGCTGACGTCGATCCTGGTGGTAGACGAAGAGATCAGGGTCCGCGGCGAGCATCGCTTTCGTGATCTCGAGGTAGTGGATCGATTCCCAATACGCTATCAGGTGATCTTCCTCCAGGGCGGCATACGACACGGCGATCTGCCACAGTAGGCTGCTAACCCGCCTGTGCAAGTTGTGGTCGAAAGTCAGCGGAGTGGGGCGGTTCTGTCGAAGTATGAGCCATGGCGCCGTAGCCATCAAGGCCAACAAGTGATCAGCTTGGAACGGTAACAAGTCCTGGGTATGGGCGCCCGAACAAAGGGCGTCCGAGCAGGGAACAGGAAGCCGGGCGGGATCGGCAACCTCTCGGTCAAAGTGGACTGAATCATGGCGATGATCGGTATGGATCCCACGATATACGGCTCCCATAGGGTGATCTCAGCTGCCGTGAATATCTTGACCGCGGAATGTTGGGGAACACTCGCCTCAGCAGGTAACAACGGCGGATTCAGTTGGAGAGGTGAGCCACCACCACGGGAACCACCACCTGGACTCCCCCGGGAGATCCGCGAGGCGGAGGAGGAGGAGTCGAGGACCCATTATCTGAAGAAGGGGGATTGTTATCGCCCGGATCACCTCCACCTTCGCCTGGGATCTCGCGCTTATCTTCGAGTTCCTCACCCTCAGGACCTTCGATCTCGGGGTGATCTTGGTCGGGAGACGGAGAAATAGGCCGATCGCCGCGAGGCATCTTGAGAGTCGGTAATTGGGTAGGAGTACTGGGCGGAATCCGTTCACGTTTCGGCATCCGCGCCGCTTGGCACTCTCGTATCCCGCTAGCAAGATGCGTAAGGAGCAGATCGGCCTCAGTCAGATCTTGCCATTTGCCGAGTTGGTCGTTGGTAAGCTGGAGATCCGCCATCCTGCCCTCCCATCCCTGAACCCCAGGCGAACCACCTCGAGATCTTCGTCCAGCTGGGCGGCGCGGGCAGCCTCGGTGAGGAGGTCCAAGCGGATCTGATCGCATTCGGCAATCACCTGATCACGGTGCTGGAGGGCCGTGTCGTGATCGGCAAGCGCCCGATCCCGATTCTCAGTGACCTGGGCGATTTGCGTGACGGCCCGATCTCGATCGGAGGTGACCTGTGCCAGGGTTGCGCGGGCGAGTGCAAGATCTGCCAACGCGCGATCCCGGTTTGCCTGGGCCAGACGGATAGAACCTCCAAGGGGTGATCCCTCTCCGTGATCTGGATGGGAAGAGATCCGGTTGTAGCTAGCGAGAACGGTGGCGGATTTGGATCTCGCGTCGTCGGTCTCACGCTCCGAACCGCGGATCTGCTCCTGCAAGTCCCGAATCTCCTCTCCGGCCTGGGACCTCTTCCTGGCGCAGACGATAGCAATCTGCCTCGGTATGATGAAGATCTTCACGGGCAGAAATCGCTTCACGATCGAAATCGTTACGCTCGACTCGAAGTTGGAGAACTTGGGTCCGGAGGCATTCAGGATCGTCACTGGCGTCGTGAGCGAGGTTCGAGATCTCGGCCTCTAGGCGGGTGATCTCGTCTTGCTGGCCGTGCTGGAACACCTCCATATCCCGGATGTCGGATCGCAGCTGGCGGACTTGCAGATCGAGATGATCTCTATCCCGGACGAGGCGATCCCGCGCGAGGTTGCTCTGGCGGAGCTCACCCTCCAAGTTGGCTTACCGCCGACCCTGTTCGGCGGTGTGGGAGCTCGAGCGATGCGAGATATTGGACTGTCGCGAACGGTTGATCACATTTGACTGCTGAGAGTCGGAAGGACTCGGGATTGGGGGACTCCGGGAGTCACTGCTCGCCTGACACATGGAGGTGGCTGGATAAAGGCTGGAGAGGAGTGCGCCTGAGACGCAAATTTGTGGAATGAGACCTGAACCTGAAATGGACCAGGACGGTCCAACATGCAGGCTGAGGGCGGATGTAGTGAAGTGCGATCAAGATCTCACGAGATAGGCAACCTCGGCTGCCAGATCGCGGAATAGAGACGGATCAGGCGACAGAAATCCCACCCCAAGCCAAAACATCAAGTCACATCTCCAAGATCCAGCGTCGGTGAGTGAAGTTGTCTTTGGATGACCCAAGATGGATCCCTGGAATAATGGACGGCGACGATCCCCATACCGCGACGCGAGAACGCAAGATCAAGGGGAATGGGTGGATGTAAGCTGCGGTCGGCCCGCGATCCGGGACCGTGGCGGATCAGCAGAAATTGATTGAAGAAAGACGGCGACATGGGGAGTCGCGCTTACCATAGATCAAGATACACAAGGTAAAGGCGATCCCAGGTCAAGGCAAGATGGTGATCCAGGGTCTGCGGAAGGAGGCGACACGATATCGTCGGGTGGCAGCAGTCATGCGCACCGAGGTGAGCGGCAACGACGAAGATCACCGCGCTCAGGAGATGGCTCAAGATCACCGATCGTGATCGCCGATCACGATCGCCATCGCCAGATCCCAGGATGAGGTATGTATCCGGATGTCAGGTGATCGTAGGAAAACAGCTGAGGATGGGTTAGTGGATATAGGGATAAACGTAAACAGACTCGAATTTGCTCTAAGCTGCGCAAGTGTCTGCCTACGCCTGGAATCGGGGATTAGTTTGGCCCCTCAAGCGCGCAGACGGTAAGGACTTAGGGTCTAGCGTAGTGGTTAAGCCTGATACTGTATTGGCCAGCTTTGCCCTAACTAGTGACTTGTCCTCAAGTGTTTACTGTTGATCGGAAGGCATTAATTGCTTGGCCGGAAGATCGCAACGGATCTCAACCCAACAAGTTCCCCGCTATTGGAAACCGCAAGCAAACATAAGAAAGGAGTATAATCTCCGGCATTGGACCCCCAAAGACCTGGAACGACAACCAGGCAGCTCGATCACGGCACAAGGACTCACCTGCGATCGAGATCGATCAACGCGAGGTAGAGCGAAGAAGTTCCGCGCTATCTCAAGCCCCTACGTTCCCACCTTTCCAGATATACATCTAACGAGTCACCCATGAGAGCGTAACCTGCCCGCCGTCGGGTACACAAGGTGAACAAGAACACAACCAGATCACAGATCATCGGAGGACCCCCTTCGTTAGTCGATGTCCAGGCGCCAGTGGTATCGGGAACCGCGATTACTAGATTTTCACGGATTCCGCTTCACCACAGGGGCAACGCCATGAGGTCACGTTGGCAGGTTACCTAAATCACCGCATCAACGGTAGTGACGTCCCAGTGCTTGCTGTTCGCCTGGAGGAACAGCAACATTTCAAGCATTAGCGGCGTGTCGTATTGGGAATTCACGATTGTACCCCTCCCGCCACTCACAACAATGCGTCGGCTCCACAAAGAGCTAACGACGAGCGGGATGAAAGGAATATACTCGACAGTCCTTGACTCGATTCCCTTCCGGGTTCCACTTGACTCTGCGCTGGTAAGGTGCTAGGTCGTAGGTCAACCAAAACTGACGTCCTTGGCACGAGCACTCCAAGTCGTCTTCTCCTCTTCCTTGATCTTGACCCTGCCTGCCCTTCAGTGGTGGAAGGAGCTTGACTTTTCGGCCAGAAGCAGGGGTGCCGGGCAATTGCTCCAGCGGTAAGAATTACTGGGAATGTGCTTCCAGTCTTCGACGATGACTCGTCGGCCTTCAATACGACCAAACCTCACGCCTAGCGCTTGGTCTAGCCACGGATGATCAGGGGTTCTTTAACCAAGTTCACCAACAGATATATATGCCACACATACCTGGCACTTTTGGACTTAACCAAAAGTAGTTTTGACTTCAGGTAGGAAATT